GATCTTGAGTATTTAAAAAATAAACTCAAAATGACGCCCATTTTTTTTCTTTCCATTCTTAAATTTGTTAGAAGAATAATTTCTCAAATCATTTTATTGGGCATGAGAGTTTAGATTTTATTTTACTTCCTCCTTTATTCTTTTCTGTATTGTTTGCCTTAAAGAAAGGAAGAGTTTTTACATTTTATTTCTCAAATGAAAATGCAGTAAAAGGGGCTTTTTTGTGTGTGCGCACTTTTATGAGTTTCAACACATGTGTAGAGTTTAACACATGTAACCATCACCACACGCAAAATCCAGGACAGCTTCATCACCCACAGCCTCCCTCCTACTGCCCCTCAGGACTCAGGCCCTCCCCCGCCCTTAGTCCCGGAAACCACTGATCTCTGCTCGGTCCCCATTGTTTTGCCTTTTGCCGACTCTCATACAAATAGAATCCTACAGTAGGAACCTCTGAGACCGGGTTCTTTCACTCAGCAGAATGTCTCTGAGATTCATCCATGTTGTAGGTATCAATAGTTCCTTCCTTCCTATTGCTGAGAAATATCCCATCGTATGGACGTACCAGCTTGCTTATCCCGTCACCTGCTGAAGTACACTGGGTTGGTTCCAGTTTGGGGTGATTATGAATTGATCTATCAACATTCATGTACAGGTTTCTTACTGAACTCTTAAATCATTGTTTAAATACAAAGATCATAGAGAATTTGCCCAAAACAATCATGGACACATCTTGGTAAGCTAACAAAAATACTAAACCTAAATTTAGAAGGTGAATTATGGCTTCTTGTGATGCTCCGAGTGCAGAGGTCGAGGGGAGTTACGCTTGTAGCAATACCAGGTGTCCCAACTGTGCCACCTTCTTGGGGGGCTTTAAAGGAGAGCAAAGGAAAGAGGAGATCAGCACCACCCCGGGGCCACCCCAGTGCCACTCGCTGCAGGAAACTAGTCCCACCTCTAATTCATTTTTCCTAGGCCATTGCTTTCATGGTAGAGTCCAGCAGATTCTCTCTTCTTAGGAGGTGACATAATTAGTGGTAAGTCCTTTACAATCACTATGTAAATTCAAGAAACGGGTGAGAAACAAATAACTGTGACAGTGCAGGGAAGCCAGTGTTCTTTCTAAAGATATAACAGAAAATATAAGGGCAGTTGGATGGGCAATTGTAGACAGAACCTTGTACAGAAACGTCCATGAACAAGAGAAATCTAGATTGATGAGATAGAAAATAGAAACACACATTAAACCAAATTAGGGATAGAATTTAATATGACAAAGTGGACATTAAAAGCAATGGGAGGGCTTCCCTGGTGGCGCAGTGGTTAAGAATCCGCCTGCCAGTCCAGGGGACACGGATTCGAGCCCTGGTCCGGGAAGATCCCACATGCCGTGGAACAACTAAGCCCGTGCACCACAACTACTGAGCCTGTGCGCTAGAGCCCGCGAGCCACAACTACTGAGCCCGAGTGCCACAACTACTGAAGCCCACGCGCCTAGAGCCCATGCTCTGCAACAAGAGAAGCCACCCAATGAGAAGCCTGTGCACTGCAATGAAGAGTAGCCCCCGCTCGCTGCAACTAGAGAAAAGCCCACACACAGCAACAAAGACCCAAGGCAGCCAAAAATTTAAACAAATAAATAAATTTTAAAAAATTAATAAATAAATTAAATAAATAAATAAAAGCAATGGGAAAGGGACTTCCCTGGTGGTGCAGTGGTTAAGAATCCGCCTGCCAATGCAGGGGACATGGGTTCGATCCCTTGTCTGGGAAGGTCCCACATGCCGCAGAGCAACTAAGCCCATGCGCCACAACTACTGAGCCCGTGTGCTGCAACTAGAGACGAAGACCCAACACGGAAAAAAAAAAAATGGCACTAGCCAATGGTAACATGTGGGCTGAAAGTGCTTGTTTTACCCAGGACAATGGAAACACTGATTAGCTTTAGGCTTTACAAGTTTAGAACACATGTTAAAATTTTAAGGATGATCAATATAAGAATAGAAATAAAATATTTAAGTCTCAAGGCAGTGGAGGAAAAAAAAGAGTAATAAGAAAAACTCAACCGAACCAAACATGATGGAGAAAAAAGAAAGAACCAAGTAAATCATAGAGAGTACAAAGTAAAGTGGTGGGGAAAATCCAAATACATCTATTACAACAAACGGAAACAGACTAAACTGGACCATTACAAAGGTAAAGATGTTCATTTTGGAATTTTAAAAATACAGATATATGCTATTTTACAAGAAATACGCTGAAACCATGACAATAAAAGAGTGAAAACGAGAGGTTGGGAAAAGAGGTACCTGACAAATACTAATCAAAAGAAAAGTGTTATGGGTATTTTAATAGCAGATAAGATAGACTATAAAAGCCAGAGGGATAAAAGGGTAGTGATCTAATTACAAAGGGGACAGTTGGCCAGGAAGATATGACGAAGCTTCACTTCCAGATATGTGCACCAGGAGGCATACCAGATTTATAATTCCTTATATTAGCACTTGGGAGTTCACCCTGCTGTTGCCTCTTGCGCCCTGTTCCACTGGGAATTCTGGGTGGGTGACATGACAAAGGTCATGACTCAGAAATCCCTGGATCCCTGGCTAGAACACGTGAATACCACCACATCTCTGGCCGCCCTCAGCCTCCTAATGCACTCACTCCATGTGCCCATCAGTCTTCACAGCCATCATCCCCTGGCAGCCACTCTGGCCAGGAACTCTTTGTTATTTATTTCTGCATTCTTAGCACCTCCCATAATGGCCAGCATCAGTAGGCATCCATAAAGTTATAATTTTGAAGACTATGAAGCCAATGTGAAGAACGGTATAATATGCATATTCCTACTTAAAAAGCGTGATATAAAACTGTAGGTGCATTTTGATTACAAATATGTAAAAATTATATATGTATGTGGATACAAAGTGGAAGAGAATGTGGAAAAATGAAAACAGTCAATTGGTTATGTAAGGTGGATGGTGACTTTTTGTTTTTGATTTCTATTACTGCTACTACATTATTACTTGTGTCATTTTGAAAATGAAACAAAAAGAAATGGCTATACAACTCTTAGCTATCCAAGAAAGTAATTCCTAAAAGATTTCACTATGTACAGGCAGGAAAATAGAGCTGTTTTCTGAGCCATGGAAATATTTATGCCCTTCGCTCTAGAAGCCATGGTGGTAACACACAGGCGACTCTCTCTGGACACACAGGGTGCTGAGAAGGGAAGGAAGTGCTATGGGAAATGGGTCCAGCTGGTCTAGCTCAGTCCTATTTTTTCCTTCTCGTTCTCTAATGCCCCTCCTTTCTAGGTAACCCCAAGGTGTCCTCCAACTATTCAGAGTTTCACAGGACAATCTTTCCATCAGCCTCAATCCCATGTCCCCGGAGAAGAGGTTCTCTGAGTTACCTGGACAGAAAACCAGGTAAATTAAATACAGTATTCCTCACCCAAAGTTTGGTCTATATATATCATTTCCAACTAAAAGTAAACAGGAGTCCTTGGAGAAATGGCTGATTGCAGGTCTGAGGCAAGAGATGTAGCAGAAGAGCCTAGAGCATTTCGTTATACCAAGAAATGTTATCAAAGACTACTAGGGTCACACCAGCAGGACTCCGGAGCCAACACAAAAAGCCTCCCAGTGGCCACGACACAACAAATTGAGTATCAAGGAGAATAATAACTGTAATGAATTGAAAGGCATCAAATATGTTAACATTCATGAGCTCATAATAACATTTAAGAAAAGTCACTCATTGCTCACTTCTGGAGGATGCTAGGAAACCAATTCATTATTTTGAAAAATAGTAAGTGAAGGGAAAGAACCAAGGAGATCCTACCTTTTCTACACTAACTGTGTCTCATTGTTACCAAATGCTTGGAAAGGGGAAGTTTGCATTACAGAAGTACTCCAACTAATAAAGGAGCAACAGTAGACACAGAGCGTCACCACCTTACAATCCCTAGTGAACTGATGGATATAGGGGTGATCAACAAGGGCTGCTAACATCACAAGAAGAAAGACAAGCAGTCCATACATGCTTGCTACCACCTATGAAGTGTTCTTGCTCCCCAAATTGAACGTGGATCAGTGCATGTATCAATTCAGGGGCAGGGACTGGCGAGGAGGGAGACAGGAGAGCACATTACATGTCACCGTGGGTTGCAATCAGTCAGATTCAGATTGTAAGAAACTCTACATAACAAACAATCCAGACTTTTTCTACAAATGCATCTTAAGGGGGGAAAATTAGCAAATGGAGAGAGACCCTGCAGATTAAAGAAGAATTGTGGCAAATCAATCAACGGCAATGTACAGATTTGATTTGGATCTTGACTCAAATAAGTTATAAAAGAAAATGTGAGACAATCAGTTAAATTTGAACTCTGACTGGATATTTATTAATATTATTGATAATTCTATTAGGTGTGAAACAGTATTTTCACCATGTTTCTAAAAAGAGTTCTTATCGAGAGACATAGATCTTTTCAATGAAATATGATGTCTGGTATTTGCTTCAAAAATATCTGAGGTTGGGCTTCCCTGGTGGCGCAGTGGTTGAGAGTCCGCCTGCCGATGCAGGGGACACGGGTTCGTGCCCCGGTCCGGGAAGATCCCACATGCCGCGGAGCGGCTGGGCCCGTGAGCCATGGCCGCTGAGCCTGCGCGTCCGGAGCCTGTGCTCCGCAGTGGGAGAGGCCACAACAGTGAGCGGCCCGCGTACCAGAGGGAAAAAAAAAAAAAAATCTGAGGTTGAGGAAAAATGGGCAGGGATAGCAATGAAATGATTGACCATGAGTGAGTGGGAAGCTGCAGACGGGTAGTGGGAGCATTCGTGGATTCATTACATTATTCTCTTTACTTCTGCATGTATTTGAAATTTTCAATAGTAAAAAAGTCTAAAACATTCATAAAAAATAAATAAAGCTGTTCCTGATCCTCACAGTTGACGTTTGGGGAAAAAAAATGTCAAGGAAACAACGGGACTCTTACCTTTTCATTAACTGGATGAAAATTCTTCTTGGTAATCGGTATACAAAGGTGTCGAGGACAACCTTTAGGTAATTCAAAGATACGTATCCACGTTTGGACGGGTGCCCTGCACTCAGGGCCTTTTCAACCTTTTCATAGGACTTTGAAAGCTGCGGTGAATTAAAATTAGAGTACAGCATTCACAGAAATCAGCGGCACAGAGCTGCTCAACCACTTTATTTTCACCAAAACCTCTTCACATTTTCCTTTCCAAAACTGATCAAAAAGGTTACTATGGCATGTACTGAACTTCAAATGTTTAATTGATGAGCTCACTACAAAACAGTATCCCCAGTCACAGCTACTCAAATGACAAGGCAGACAAGTTTCTCAGGGAAAAACAGCACATACAATAGCTCTAACTCAAATTTCAGAGCTAAAAATACTTGGTGGATCTGCCAGTTTGATACATCTTTCTTAATATACTTTCAACCCATCCCTACTGTGAGCCCATGCTAGGCTGCTCCTGATTAAGTCAGGTCAATCAAACAAAAAGCTGGTGACATTTTATTAAAAAGAGAAGTAGCTTTGACTGTAAGGAAAATCGTTAGGATTTCATAAACATTGTACACATTGGACATTTCTTTAATTATCCTTTTTTTTGGCGGGGGGGAATTACAAAGAACCAGGGTGAATCAGCTTTGCTTATGGGACTTCTAAAATGCAGTAAAGTAGGTTAACCACTGATTTTTGTATGACTCATAAAAATGCTATGAAGATTGGTTTTATTTCCAAAGGTTTTCCTGCTGTTTATTACTGAGTAATAACAATATTCTTCGATATTTCCAACCCTCTCCACGTTGTCCGAATTCACTTTTTTCCTGCTAACTGGGATACGAAGATAAACAAAAGAAACACCAACTTGGTGTAAAAGGTGACGTTTAAAAAGCTGCTGGAACATGGAAATATATGTACAAGTGTCTCTCCCCACTAAAGGAATAAGAAGCACATTCACTAAGACTTCCTGAAGGTGCACAGGAATATCGGAAATTTAAGGGGAAATCTTGAAAAGAATCTAGAGACTTACAGGGCCTAAGCTTCTTAGAAAGTTGCATAAAATTAACCCAAAATGTGGCTAAATGTGCCCATCTCTCTCTCTCGGGGAGGTGGGCTGCCTGGGGGAAGCCTCTAGTGGAGGGAACCCAAAGCCAGACATGGAGTCTGGTCTCAGTATATTTATTGGATTAATGAAATCTGCTTTTAATATCTTAATGACATTTAGTCTCCAATCAGGTTTTTTTCAGGAGAGTGTTTTGACATAATCTAGACCCCTTAGAAGAAAAGCAGGAATGAAACAAAAGTAATGTCTTTGTTTTTCTGTTTGTTTTTTTTTTAAGACTTTATTGAATTTGTTACAATATTGCTTCTGTTTCATGTTTTGGTTTTTTGGCCACGGAGGCATGTGGGATCTTAGCTCCCTGACCAGGGATCGAGGGATCTGATCGAGCCTGCACCCTCTGCATTGGAAGGCGAAGTCTTTACCACTGGGCCGCCAGGGACGTCCCCAGAAGTAATGTCTTTGCGACACGTAAAACTTTTTAGGAATTTTCATCGTTACTGTTTATAATGAAACAAACAAAAAAATGCAAGCAATTCAGCAAAGTATAAAAAAGGACATAAAGATACCGGAAGTCTCACTACCCACAGGTTTTTATATGGTGTTCCAAAAACTCCAACATGATCACATAAACATATATTATAATTTTACAAAAATGGGACCACACTACACTTTCAGTTTTGACAAATGCTTTTTTCATTTAACAACATGTCATGAAACTTTTCCCACAAGAACTCGTGTGTATCTGCATCACACTTTTGAAATGATACATGGCAGCCATCATGTTATGGATGGACAAGTGAAAGGCACACCCATTTTCCATGTTTAAACACTTGCGTTTTATAAATGTTCCCCTGACCCCCAATCTAGATGAGGCTCCCCTTGTTATTCTCTCTTATAATACCCCGTCCTTTTCTGTCATACCACTCTAGGAAAATGGTAGTTACGAACGTGTATTTGTTTAACATCTCTCTCCCTGATGTAAGGTCATGCAATCTCCATGAGAGCCAAGATTGTGCCCTGTTTTGTTCGCTAATAATTATCTAAAATGAAGCACAGTTCGGCATGCGGTAGGCACTCAATAAATATTTGTTAAAATGGATACATTTTTACAAAAAATGTTCTAAAGAAAGGTTGTAAAATGTAAGGAGCTATCTGGCACATCAGTAAAAAGAGAAACAAAATTTAAATTATAGCTGAAATGCCATTTAATCCGCATCAGACTGGTAAAAATGTACAACTCTAATGATATCAAGAGCTGGTAGGTACAGTGGACAACAGGAATTCTCATATGCTCCCAATGGGAGTGTGAACTGGTATTCTGAAAAATAACTGGATACTGCCAATGAAAGCTGAGGAGCATGTTCCCTACAACCTAGCAAGGAATGCTGGGTGTAATTCCCAGAGACACCTTAGCAGGCATGCACCAGGAGATATGGAGCCAACCACTTACGGTGGCATCGTTTGGATGAGCACAAAACAGGGAGCAATCCAATGCCCATCCCTGGGCAGTGCATTATCTGTGCATATATAGCTAATGGAGACTGTACAGCAGTGAAAATGAAAATACAGCTACCTCCATAATATGAGCAGATCTCAACCTAAGCACAAGCAGGATGAAAATAAATGGTTTTACAACTATGCAAACACACTATAGAAAAAGAAACAAACAAACATCAAGCAAAAGACAAAGAACCCAATCTGTAGGAGAACAGGATACAAAAAAAAAAAAAATATATATATATATATATATATCTCACCAGCAAAGCTTTCATATTATAAAAAGGAACTAAATAAGAATATAAATTCATTAAAAGAAAAGCTTGAAGACAAGATGATAAAACAATGAAAGAAAGAAAGAAAAAAAACAAACAATGAAAGAGAGTAGAAGGATATTTCAAAGCTAAGAAAATAGAAAACAAAAACAACATCATTACAGGAACTAATAACAAATTAGAAACAGCAAGAATAAAAGACAAGGCTGAAATTAAAATTAATAGTAAAGGAATGGCTTGGGAATTCCCTGGCAGTCCCGTGGTTAGGACTCAGCACTCTCACTGCCAGGGCCCTGGGTTCCATCTCTGGTCGGGGAATTAAGATTCCTGTAAGCCGTAAGGTGTGGTCAAAAAAAAAAACAGAAAAAAAAAGAATGGCTTGAAAGATTCCCAATGAAGGCGGAGGAAAAGGACAAAAGTATTATGGCATTTTGAGAGAAGATGATTACCATCAAGGATAGCCAAAGATGATCCAATATAAGATAACTGAGGATACCACTGAAGGAAGGAAAGATGGAAGGAAGACAGAAGGGAGGGAGAGAAGGATGCAGGGAGAAGGTTTTAGTGATGTGACACAGGGAAAATTTTCCTGAAGTGAAGAACTAAATCTGTACGTCAAAAGAATATACTCTGTTCCAGGAAACTTTGGCAAAATGCTCCATGCCAAAACAGTCTTCGTTTTGCTTTTTAATTTCAAGGATTAAGAAAAAATAGTTTAGGCGTCCTGGTAGAATAAAAAATTATCTACAAGGGGGAAAAAATCAGTCGACCTCAGGATTCTTCTCAAGAACACCCAATGCCAGAAGGCAATGCAGAAAAACAACATTTTGAGGAAAAGAAAGAATGATGGAAGAATTATACCCAGCTACGTTGTTGTTCTAATAAAACAAAAGGGAGGGATAGTATGAAAAAACAAAAGGAATAAAGCACCCATGAGCCTTTCTTGAGGGAATTACTTGACAATGAAATCCAGCCAACCAAAGAATAAATCAAAATAAAGAACTCTGAAAGGGATAAGCTATGGTAGCACTGGAGCAGGGTGATGTGCATTAAATCCATGTAAATATAAAACGCAGGCAAAACAACTGGGGGAATTACAGTAACAGAACAAAATGTAAATAGTATAAACTCTGACTGAGAACAAAATATAAACAGCAAAAATTGTGAGGTGGGAGGGGCTGGGAAGAAACACAGGAAGTGCCAATCACAAGGAGTTTCATAGCCAGCCTGCGCTGACTGTAATTGAGACATCCTTCAAAACACCATCATTTCTCCAACTCTTCACGGCTTTCTTAATCTCTTTTTTTGTCTCAAAACTCTTTTTGGGACCTGGTATCTCTTGTGGTAAAGAAATATTTATCCAAAGTTCAGAAATATCTTTGGCTTCACTTGAGGACATTATATCATGTGGAGCACCCGGGGTTCAGATTGGGCCTCAGGACTCTCTGGTGGGGTAACCTGGGGCAGGTCATTAAGCCTCCTCGTGCTTCAGATTCCTCATCTTGAACCCGGGATGATAATGGTGCTTAACTCCTGGAGTTGCCGTGAGGACTGAACACCTGAGGGGCGCTTACAACGCTGCCTGGCACAGAGGCAGCCCCATAAAAGGGTTAATTATGAGGGTGATGATAATGTTTTTTTTTTTTTTACTTCTGGTAAATTAAAAGAAATTTAAATTAAATATGATTTATTTGTAAAAAGGAGCATGATTCTCTTCCTATAAAATTATTTCTATCTATGTATCCACCCACCCACCTGCCGATGCAGCAATCCTTCTATACATAGAATAAAGACAGGCCTAGAATTATGTTCACCAAATGTTGCCTTTGATTATTTCTGGGTGGTGGATTTTGAATAATTTATTACTCTCTTCTTTATACTTTTCAGAATTGCTTACATTTTTTGGAATGGTCATGTTTTCATAAAAACAATAATTCATTAACAACAACAAGAGAAAACAAGTTTCACCGATTTACCAACAGAATATTCATGCGCTCCCCCTCTAACGCCCTTATCAATATTGGCTTCTGTTAATTTTTTCCGCATTGATGATTTTCTACTGAAAATTTTATATTAATAATTTATAAAAGTTCTACATATGTTAGGAACAGTTATTATTTATCTGTCATTTACGTGGCACATGCTTTGCCAAGTTTATCATTTGTTTGTGCAAAGTTTTGCTGTACAAATACTTTTTCATTTTAATATAGTCAAATTTATCAGTCTTTTTCTTTATGGCTTTGGGGCTTTACTTCATGCTTAAAAGTCTAAATTTCAAGATTAAAAATTTTCACCTAGATTGTTTATTTTTAAATTTAAATAGTGGGGGCACACAGAATTTATTTTGGTGTGGAGAGTGGAATGTTCCAAGCTTTTTTCCCCACATGGCTGGCTAGCGAATTATCCCAGTAATAATTACTGAACCTTCTCCTCCCTTGTCCCCACCATACTTTATTGGAATGCCTCACATCACATGCTAAATTCACATATCAAGATTGGCCCACTACCCAACTACTGTTTTAAATCAATTTGAATGTTCACTGCTGCACCACTGTCATAATGTCTTAATTATTACACCTTTAACATGTTTTATATGTGATAGGATAAGCCCTCTATTGTAACTTTTCAAAAGAAAAAAATATATGTATATATCCACCCAGATGTAGGGCGAGAAGGTGTTAATACTAAATCTTCCAGTCCAAGAGCTAGAAAAGTCCTCTTCATTTCTCAGATTTTCCTTTATTTTACTCAATAAAGTTGTATCATGTCGTTATATAAGTCTTAAATTTTTCTTATTACATTTAGTGTGTGAGTAGCACCAAGGAAGTACTTAATGTCTCATCATCGTTACCATCATCCATGCATTGTTGTTATGAGAAGCTGGAGGAGGTCCCAGGGCTTGAGGAAGCAGAGGTGGTTCAAAGCAGTTTAGAAATAACGTCTAGACCTAATGGTCTTCCACAGCCGTCTACTCTCTCTGTTCACACTTTAGATAACCCTGGCACTAGGAGAACGTTCTTACCTCTTGGCGAAAGGTCCTCTCAATTTCATCTAAGGAGCAGTTTTTCCAGATATCTTCAGATGAAGCAGGACTGGGGAGGTACTCTCTTTTGGAACTTTTGACTCGTTGGTCCTCCCATGGGACCTCTATTAAGACAAAAGAACTCCAGTTTATGAAGACTTGTCAAATGTACATTTGAATATTAAGTGTTTCCTTTTCATCATCACCTGTCTGGTAAAAATTAAGACTCAAATAAACCAAAAACATGAACTATATAATAAGTGCTGTTGAAATAACTGGACGGACATTTTAGAAAAAAATAAAATTAATCTACTTGCTACCTTATCTAGGCTAAATCTGGATAGAGTAAATATATACTAAACAGACTAATAAAACCATAAAAGTAGTGGAAGAAAATTAAGATGAATATACATAATACATGTAATACATTATCACTGTGTGAAAAGTCCCTTCCAAAGAACACATTAGAGCTAGAAATCATTTAAATAATGGATAGGTCTGACAATATAAATATTTAATTTTTGTTTGTTAAAAAAATACACAAATAACAATGAAAGAAAAACGAGTGGGAAAAACTATTGTTAATATATGTGAGAAATGCAGGTTAATCTGCTCAATATATGAGTAGCTCTTATGAATCAAAAGGATAACATAAATCCCCAATCACACAACAGACTAAGGTTTAAACAGGTAATTCACATTAAAAAAGGTTTTTTAAAAAGCCAAGAAATGTATGAAAAACTGCTCAAACTCATTGGTAATTTAAAAGGTCTAATTAACACAAGTTAATTTTTCCCTACTTGTCAAATAGGCAGGGATTAAGGCAAATGACAAAGAAAGAAATCAGTGCTGGCTTGTATACAGAAAACGTGGTCCTTGAATATTCTCAAATCCCCTTCTAGAACTTTACACTAATGGAATAATAGGACAGATGCATATGTGTAAGGATCTGTTCTGTCCTGTTTATAAGAAGGGAAAAAATGGAACAATTTAAATGCCCATTAATAGAAGACTGGTTTTATAAATTATGGTTCATAGACATTAAAAACAAAGGGCCTGTCTAAATCATGAATGCAAAAAATTTTCCTTGATATTGTTTCATGCTTGAAAGAAAGAACAACTAGCATAATTTAATTTTCATTTTAACACTTATTTTGTGTATTTGCTTATCTATCCATCCATCCATCCATTTTTCCATCTATCTCTCTATGCACCAGAAACAAAACCTGTGAGGATAATAACCAAAAGAATACAGTGGTAGGATTATAGGGAAGTGTGATTTTGTGTTTTTGTGTTTTCTGGCCTTTTTGCAACGAGCACTTATTACTTTTATAATAAAAGAGAATAAAACAAATCTAAGATATAGCCATTTTCTTTCTCAAAGTCAACTGCAAAGAATCACAAATGATTTCCCAGATTTATTTCCTAAAATGTCTGCAAATAAGCTCCACTCAAATTAAGCACACTTGTAACTACTCAGCTGCAGTTAAACTGGAATTCTATTTCCTACCTCAAAAAAACGAAGGAAAAGAAAAGAAAAGAAAAGAAAAAAAGTAAGTCTCCCCCCCCCCCCCCGGTGGACCCCCTCTGGCTACATGATACAATACAAAACCAGCCCTTTAGAACGCAGTCTGGAATTCCGTGGCTTCAGAGGGCCTAGCATTTGAAACATGGGCTCTCAGAGCATAGAAGCTGCGAGAGCCTCACTGAGAGACAAGGGAGCCACGCAGGTATCACTCGGTGGGGCAGGTCTCAGCCCCAGCTTTCTGATGCCTTGGTCCTAAACTTACTCTGCGCTGGGCACTGCTACTCTAATGGGGGCTTAGAGGACACACACAGCACGTCTAGGGAAACCCCTTGGTGCTCCGTAGACAGCACGCCAGAGTGGAGGGCGGAGGCGGGGCCGAGGCGTGAGGCCCGCCCTGGGGGAGCTCACCCCCAGTGCGGGACCTCCTCCGCCGTACCGCTCTAGCTGCTACTGCAGGCTGGCCAACAAACTCCATGAAGCCACGTCCAGCGACTCCGCTCACATCACAGCTAGACCAGCTTTCGGTCTTCTGTGCAGCTGAATAATTCCTGCCGCCTTCCGATTTCCCCAAAATTTCCTCTGAAGGATTCTAGCTGATTTGAAATGGAGTAGAGAGGAAATCCAAAACTTAAGGGGGCAAGTATGTATTTCATAGGTGCAGCAAAAGGAATTCAGCCCCTAATGTCATTTCTCCATGTGCTCAAAGAGATGGTGCTTTTGACAAGCAAGGTCTTGATGGCGTCTTCAGAACAAAAGTAGCAAAAACAGAAATATGCAAAATTCACAGAAAACAAATATTGTCCCATGTATAGAAAAGTCACAGATAATGGGCTGCTGCAAATGAATGGAGACTCCCTTCTTACAGTACTTAATAAAATAAGCAAAAGAAAAAATAATAAAAATTAGTAAAAATAAATTTATTTATCAGCAAAGCAAATAAATAAATAAATTTACTAGCATAAACTGAAGCAAGAAGAAACTTAATATGGGCAGCCAGAAAGTTCTGCTTCCAGTTATGGTGGATTTGCTCCATGTTATCTGCAAACCTCCCAGCAGATAACAATTATAAACTCTAGCCAAAATATAAACAAAAAACTCTCTGAAGGCATTGGAGAGCAAATGACATAAACTGGAGTCAACCCTTGGAAAAGTGGAGTTTCTTGTTATTTGGCCTTTTGCCTGACGGCAGGCTTCACCTGGAACCTTACGCTAAGTGGCTAGAGTTTAGATATAAACCCAGGATCTTACTGGTTTTAGGAATCAAAAAAAGAGAATTCAGGACTACCACAGCAGCTAGAAAGTAAGGAGGGAAAGCACAAAAAGAAAGGCATAGCAGAGGTTCTCCAAAGCCCGTGAATAAGCTCTGCCAAAATCACTGGCTAACACTGGGAACTATGGATGTGTAGAGCAGAAAACAAGAAGCCCAGCTGAGGCTAAAACAGCAGAAAAAAGATCTCACGTGTTGACCCCTCAGGGAAGACAAAGATTAGTCTTCTACTGAAGTAAACTGGCTACTAAAACAAAAACTTAAATTCTTCAGAGGAACGTAACAGACTCCATAGTCTCTACAATGCAAAATTTACTATACCGAGGATAAATTCCAAAATTACTAGACATAGGCAAAAAAAAAAAAAAAAAAACCCACAGGAAACTATGATCCATATTTTTTTAAAAAGGTAATCAATAAAGACCAAATCCTAAAATGACCTAGATGTTGAAATTAGCAGGTAAAAATTTTTAAATTTAAATTTTTTAAATAACAGTGTTTGAGAATATGAAGGAAAATATACTACTAATGAAATGAACAGATAGGTATTCTCAGAATAATAGAAGCTGAGCAACATATCCTGTATTTTCTTTGTTTGTTTTTTGGCCACACCACATGGCTTGCCTGTGTTTATAGTGTATGTAAAAGTATGATGTATGACAGCAATATAACAAAGGACAGGAGAGAAGAATTCAGAAAATGCTGTTTGAAGTCTATAATTCATGTGAATTAGTATAATATTATCTGAAGATAGATTCTGATTAGCTAAAGATGTATAATGGAATAAAAATGCTCAATCAATCCAAATTCCTTAAAATTACACAAACTCTAGAGGAAAAAAGTTGCGGGAAGGGGCTGGTGGGTAGAGAAGGAAGGAAAGGAGCATAACACAAAAAGGCACAGATCCCACCTTGGAAGAAAATGTAATTCAAGGCACAAAATTACTTTACAGAACATTTTAATAAGAGCACGAATTCATTAAAACAAGAGCTCAACAACAAGATGATAAAACAATAAAATGAGAGCGGAAAACAATATAGTAGGCCAAAGGAAACAACATTATAGAAGTAATTAATAAAGTGGACATAGCAAAGAGTAGCATAGACTAAAGTGAAAATCAAATTACAGGTATAGCTAAAAGGCCTAAGATGATCCTTGTGAGTACAAAGGAAAAAGACAAAGAGAATAAAGCACTTCAAGATAATTTAGTCAATAGAGAAGACAAAAACAACTCAACATAAGGGTAGTTTGTATCACTGAAGTTAATCTGAAAAGTGGAACAGAAACTTTATTCAAAGATGTACAGGGCTTCCCTGGTGGCACAGTGGTTGAGAGTCCACCTGCCGATGCAGGGGACACAGGTTCGTGCCCCGGTCCGGGAGGATCCCACGTGCCACAGAGCGGCTGGGCCCGTGAGCCATGGCCGCTGAGCCTGCGCGTCCGGAGCCTGTGCTCCGCAACGGGAGAGGCCACAACAGTGAGAGGCCCGCGTACCGCAAAAAAAAAAAAAAGATGTAAAATATTACTGAAAAACAAACAAACAAACGAATCCTTGAAATGAAGAGAGAATTGAATTTTCAGGTTGAAAATATACTGTGTTCTGGAAAATTGATGCAGAAAGCTGAACACCAAGACATTTCCTAGCTAAATTCATTTGGCACCCTGGAGTCAAGTTTTCTCATTTAAAAAAATGGGATAATAATACCCACCTCACAAAACTGTTGAGAGAAATAAAATTAAAACTAAGGTTTAAAAAGTAACTACACAGAGCTCAATAAATAGATGTGTTTTAGTGTTATTTTTTATGTGACTTGTTTTGTGTCTTACCTGTCCTATTAAAATATATATACATGCACACATACATACAAACACACACACATACACACACGCACACATGCTTCTTAAAGTTAGATTATTTTACTTGGCTTTGTACCCAATGAAGGATCTAGTAGTACAGGGACTTGCACATGAACTAACAAAATGTAAGGGATAAAGCATCCTTGGAAGGTCATATTGTCTAGTAATTCCCAAAACTTGGAAGGCTTTGAAAAGTAGAGTCCTGGGGTCTGCTCTAAGCTATCTTGGTTAGTGAAACTGAGCTGAAATCTAAGAATTTGTAATTTTTAAGTTTGCTAGTCAGGCAGATCTGGGAATCATAGAAGGTATTAGTACATACTTGCTGCAATGAATTGCACTGAAACCAGACAGTGACAACCCATCTTGAATGAGCCAGTACACACGTGGTAAACCCCTGAGGCAAGAAACCGCTTGCCTCAAATGACCAAAGGCCTGGAAGGGAGACTCTCCGATTGCATTTTTCATATACCCATCCGCGAGGAACTGGACCCCTGCTCTCTCCAGAACTGTGCAACTCTGGGCATTATGTTCTAGAGGCTGGGATAAAGAATATCAGTACGAGGAAAGTTTTTCCTTCTCAAGGTTGTATGCCTGCGTGAGCCCAGCCTTACATGTCCGGTATAACCATACCATCTACTCCACCATTTGCCCTTTTGTATCAAGATTGTTCCCATCGTTAAAGGAGTAACATGTTCATTAACAAAAATTTTTGAAACTACAGAAGTAGCAGAAAGAATCAAACACCCACTTATCACTTAAAGACAATCTATATTTTGGAATTTCTTTCCAATCATTTACTGATATTCCACATACATTTTCCATGTTATGATTAACTTTATGGAAATCATTGCTTGTGGATGCACATCTTACCATGTCTATAGGCTGTGACTCACTTAACCCTTCTCCTGTTGTTAGGCATTTATGTTATTCTTATAAATAAAGATACCATGACAGTCTTTGTGGATAATGCATTTTCCATATTTGAAAGTGTTTCCTTAGGACAGATTCACAGACGAGGAATTACCACGCCAGAGGATACTGAAATCATACTTTAAAATACTTACCTTGACTTCTCATAGAATATTTAAGGTTCAAGTCATTATTTGTACTGAGGTTCTTCAAAACAACATTATAATCCACTGCAGTATCTTTATCAATGTTGTAGTGTTTTGCAAACCTAAAATAGAACTGTTCATTAGTATTCAGAAATTACGATACAGAGAATCTAAATGAAGCAAGTTTCTTTTACTAAGGTATCCTTTACTCTGGGGTTGGCATTAATTTTAATGTGTGTTTCTAGCTAGAGCTGGAATAAAGAAGTAAACCCTACGAAATGTTACTGTAAGATTTTAAAAAGGCAGATACTCCTGAAACTAACACAATCAACTATACTTCAGTTTGAAAATTAATTAATTAATTAATTAAAAATGCAAATATTTAGGAGGAGATCACTTCACTCTCTCTCTAGATGGCTGTGTACAGATCTGCGTGCAGAGGTACGTCTCAAGACCCGCTAAGGGAACGCCCCCTGCCTGTACCCCGTAGGGTCTTCTCCCTTCTCCGGTGGGGGTGAGTGAGGAGCACCCCTGCAGTCAGACAGCAAAAGCAGTTCCCCACTTCCTTTAATAATTGGGGGGAATGGATCTGGGCCATGAGTCAGCATAAAATTTCTATAACCAGAGAAATCTACAGCCGGTGGAGGAGAGAACATAGCCCACCTTCTTGACCAAGAATATCATTTCGCAGAGAGAAACTGTGCCCAGGATGGCGTATCGTGTTACAGCAGTCGATGGTGGGAGCGGGGCAGCTTTTCTTGGAGCATTCTAGGCTGTCTATGCATAAAGAGAAATTTTGAAAACACTTAACCAAGGTCTCTCCCTGAAATACACTGAGATACTCTTTTTTTAAAGTTAAGATAAATACAATGTTTGGATTCTTTTTTCCTCTAAAATGAAATTTCTACTATTCAAACCTGCCACTTGATAAATGGTTTTCTAGATGATCTCTGCATTATTACATTTATAAACAATTGACAGTTTTTAAATGTTTGGTTATATTATCTCCATATGTTGGTTTCTATAATTATCTAATTTCACTCTGCTTTCTAAAAATTTAGTAATTATCACTTAAAGTAGTTGTTATTTTTCTGTTTCCAAATTTAACAAAGAGTGATGTCATGTATTCATTTCAACGCATACCTTTTTTTCCACTTTGATGAATCTTGCCTATTGTTCTAGTAAGAAAAATTATCTTGAGATATGATAGCTGCCAGATGTTAATCTTGAAACTCCCTAAATAGCTCCATCTTTCATCCACAGACTCTGTCTGGCAAAAACAAGCTGTAAGCACAAGAATCCAGAAGGCGGCACCTAAAGTGTTCCTTTTTGAGTTGCCGTCCTACAGAAAGTCCCGGCCACTCTGCAGCTCCAGGAGAATGTCAGGATGCCGATAAAAATCTCATCACCAACTTTCCTATTTTTGGTGAAAATTCAGCATCCCTTCAAACTGGTATTGGCTCATAAGAGAATCCTGACCTTTCCTAATGCCCAGCCCACCGCATTCATAATACCTGCTACACAGTCACTGGGAACAGACAGACACAATTCCATGGTAATATTTCCTACAGATAAAATTCAAAAATGAAGCCTCAGTACTTCTCAAGGATGCAGTATCTCAAAAGGCTTTTTTTAACAAGAATCAAGGCATGGGAGACAGAACCATTCCTAAGACACAGCAACCAAGGCCACTTCCCCAGGGACCTGAAGTGTGGGCAGGAGAACTCACACATGTGCAGACACCCAGGGCAGGACGGTCACATGGGAAAGCTGACTTCAGATGCAAAGGGAATGAGGCCAATTGACCCACAAACCTCTCCAGCATCACCACCCAGAACAGTGCCTTGGGCTTCATTCATCTGCCCAGGCAGCAGGCTGAATTCTAGTGAGTTTGTTTGTTTCTTTGTTTTTCAAGGTCGCTCATAAATTATTTTACCCGGATTCAAATACTTTGTCCTGCAGGGCAATGGAGAGGAAAGTAGGATGGTGTGAGATGGAAAAGGAAGAACAAAACCCAGCAGGTCTCAGGACACTGGCTAAGTATGGAACTTGGAGATAATCTTCTCCCCCGCTCCTTGTTTCCATAGGCTGGATGGCATTCTGCAGCCTGAAGAGAACTGTTTCTCAAAGAGTAAAGGACACTCATGGAATCTTTACGATTATGATAGCATCGATGTGAAACGAGCACCTACTGCATGTCAGGTACGTTGCAGGCGCAGAATCTTCATGCCAGCCTTGCAAGATGGGCTCCTCAGTCCCCATTTCTTTAAGAGAGAGCCGAGTCTGAGAGAGGCCCAGGAGCTCCCAGAGGCCCCACAGCTAGGGAGGGCAGACACAGACCTGACCCCAAGCGCGCCTGGCTTCAAAGCCCAGGCCACTCCTACCTTGCTGCACGCCGAAGGCTGATATTAAATAGAAAGCTGTTAGATAAAAAAAAGGATTCAAAACTGCATTGTGTTTCCTGCTCAAACACTAAAAAGGCAAAGTTAATACTGAAGCAGCTACTCAAGGAAAGAGTATATTCTTGAGCTTCGATAAGAAAAGCATTAAAGCAATTGAAGAAATGGTTACTTTTGATCTTCTGCTTTTCTATTCTGAAGGAAAGCAATTCTATTGCGTTAAGTTCCTCAAGCCTTATCATGCAGACAGTATTGTTTTTAAGGCTTAAAAAAATATCTCAAATAAAAATTTGTGGAGTTCTTTACTATTCAATACTTGTGAGATGGGGAAACAGACAGTAACATTTTTTTATAGATTTACTAGGTTGGAAACTAGTGCCAACCACAAGGTTTATTGTCAAATAAAACACTGTTTTGCTTTTTGATTGCTCGTTTTAGAAGAGTGCTGCTTCTGTTCTATAATCGCGTGCACAGAATTATTTAATTTGTTTTGTTTGGATCTTATTCTGGACATTTTCCCAGTCGGAAAGATGTAAAAATTAAAACATCTATTATGTCTTTTATATTCTGAGGTGGGTTATAAGGAGACAAAAAAAAAAAAGAGGAAGAAAATATTCAAAATACTGGGAAATATCCATATTTTAAAAGTCTCCTCGTTTTTCAGAACCTGCAGTGCCTGTGAGGTTGGCACATGCCCTCTAGACTTGTTTTTGCTCCAGGAGCAGATTCTTCCACTAACAGAGGCGACATCGTCTTTATAACACTATGGAAGCAACCACAAAGACCCATTTTAGTAGCGATTTATGACTGCGGTGTGATGTGAAACTCTTAGGCTCAGAGTGAAATCATCAGGCTTGGTACTTTTGTTAATGGCCCAGAGGATATTCAGAAAAGTGGGGAAAGGCAGGAAGACGAGGAGTGCCTCTTGGCTGAGTACTATATAAATTAAGTTAAACACAGCCCCACCCCCACCTTCCAGTGGCTTCCATTCAATACTCAAGTAGCCACAGAATCCAAGCATTTGGCTTTTCTGAACGATCTGGAGTTTATTGGAGGCTCAAAAAAAAGTCTGTGCAGGTTTCCCCACACTGCCCTCGAGTCAGGAGCAGGTGGCGGCTTTCAAACGCCAAGAAGCAGCTAACGTCCCCCTGCTGCAATGCCCAGCCCAAACTCAGCAACAAAGTCCTCAAAAGAAAATTAAGCTTCTTTTATCATGTCAGGATGGAGAGCCAATAGGGAGCACATCAACCAACAAATAAATCCTGAAATTTTTCATTCTTCTCCTAACCCCGGGCTTTGAGTAAAAGTCAACTGTGAACTGGAAACCCATGGGGTGGTGGGCGAGGTCCCAGGCAGGCAAAGAGAGACCACTGGTGATGGATGACTTAAATCATCGAGATGCATTCAAAGCTGCAGGCCTGATGACTCTCACCCGCGGGGACTGGAGGAATTAGAACCGTTAGCTCTCACTTTGGAGAATTCGTGGAGAGCTTCACAAACATGGGAGAAATGCAGATTGAGGACCTCTTTTAAAAACAGTCAAGACAGAGAAGGCAGGAGGGAAGGACGCTGCCTGGATCCAGTGAACCCAACAGGTCCCATTTTGAAATTGGCTGAAAGTCCTACTGAGCAATCTCTCACCATACCTTCGTTTACTTACTTTTTGTATTCATCATCTTTCATCTTCAAACAGAATGTCTCCAGAACCCTCCTCAGCGCATGTGGTTGGACCAGACCCGTCTTGTTAACATCAATGAGCTTAAGGGCTTTGATAACAGTTTTAATGTTTTTGAAAATCTGTGTATAAAAAGAGATTTAGGTAAAGTCAAAAGATCCAGTTAAAAATCAAGATGGTAATAATAAAAGTGAACGTGTTTAAATACTTCTTGTAAAATAAAATGTTTTCAAAGACTCACAGTCGTAGGTATTGCAAAATGACATATCTATGGAAAAAGGGACACTTTACATTTCTTGAATGTTTTCAAAGCAATTTTCTCTGTAAATGGTCTTAGTAAGTTTTAAAAAAAAGAACTTTTTCTGATGTAAAGCAGTAAGTCTCATACACAATTCATTGCATTTTAGAGCCATATGAAAAATCTTTTTTGTTAATTGATACTTTAAAACCGTAATTCTGGCATAGCTGGATCTGGACAATTCTTATTTTTCATAGCCACATGCAAACCATTTTTACTAGGAACTGAAAAATATGAGTGTATATTCCAACCCCTCTGAATTTTTAAAAGATATTACAGAAAAGCTTTACAGTGATCTTTCCCAAATTCAGCAAATGCATATTTATTGGGCACAGAGACCTGAAAGGCATTTGGTTAGGTCCCATGGAGATGCAGGGCCGTGTGCCTGCCCTGAGCCACTTCTATGTAAAGGAGAGAAACACCCACCAGGGCTCACCTGTGCCAAGCACAGAGCCCTGTGACTGCACTCTCCCGAGCCACACGAAGGACGTACCGTTTCCCCACTTTTAGATAAAACCGAGGGTGGGGGAGGCCACAGGAGTTGCCCATCATCACCTGGTTAGACGATAATGATGCTGGGGTTCAAACTCAAGTCCACCCCCAAACTACACCTCCCGCAGAGCAGATAAGGCATGTAAATAAATATTCATAAATATTCACCAAGATAGGAACCATGGGAACAAGAGCCAAACACCAGAGACAGACAAGCGAGGAGCTGTGGGTCTTCACACAAGAGAACAACACTTCCAGCAGAGCCACCTGGGAGGCTTCCTGCAGGAGGTGGCATCTGAGCCAGGAGGGGGCCGGGGCAGGACAGGACAGGAAGGCACTGAGTACAGCTGGGCGTGAAGGGGGTTGTGGATGAAGGGTGATGAACGTCTGGTATGGCCAGATCCTGGAAGGTCTGACTCTGCATCCTGTACTGTAGATCACATCCAAGTCCAGCCCAGACTCGGAGGGAAATTAGTGCTCCTTAAGGAAGGAGTTTAGGGAAGACTCTAAGATGAACAGGGTTTTTCCTAGTTTCCTCAACGCCTCCTCTGATGAGTCCCTACACTGTCTCTGACCTGAAGGAGCCTCCTGCCAGGCCCCTCCCAGGGTGGCCGTCTTAGGGATCACGCAGGAGGAACCACTGAGCTGGCCTCTGCCCCAGCTCCTCCCGGCTGGGTCATCTGCAGCCCTCCTGCCTCCGCCCCCCGGGCCCCCGGGGATGTTAGCCGGCCTCTGACTCAGCTCCTGTCCTCCTCCCATCCAGAGGTCACCTGCCTGCTCAAACTCACGCCTCGTCACCACTAACTGCCGCTCTCCAAAACGAAGTCCCACATCCAACGCCCCCCGTCTTTCAGCCCGAACCCGAACACCCTTCTCCCCTCCAGGACCCCGCCTGCTGGTCCCTCTCCTCCGCACGCCTCCCCACGGCCCATCTTTACAGTGACCCGGTGCCTGTGTGCTTGACCGCCACCTCCCTCCTCCTGCCTTCCCGGTCTTGGCTAGACCCTAACCCTGGTCAGATCCAACTCACCGCCTCTTCCAAGCGCCTGATGCGGCCGGAGAGGACGGGCCATCGAGCACTCACCTGGGTCCCCTCACTCAAGACCGTCAACCCTGCCAGCAGGTGCACGTGGTGATGCTCGCCTGGGCGGTCCGCTCACCCGCCACCGGGCACATTTCCCACCTTCTCCACTCTCTGCCTCCCTTCCCACGCCGCCTCCTTCCTCTCCGCTGATAACCTTCCTCCTCACTTGCAGAGAAACCAGAAGCAACTGGACGGCAAGGCCCCGTGCTCCCCGACATGCCCAGCCTGTGTGCCTCCACACCCGGCCACTGGCCTCTGGTCCTGCGCCGGGCCACCGCTGCTCTCGCGCCCATCAGGAACTGCTCGTGCCCCGCTGTGCCCAGCTCTGAGCTCGTGTCCACGATGACGAACCATCTGAGAGGTGAGCCCTCCCTCCTCGCCCCGCCTCACCGCTGCCCCCAGCCACTCCTTCCCTTTTGCAGAAATTCCCCCTCGAAAGCTGTCTGTGCGTCCTGTCTCCAGCCTGTCTCCCCCCACACCCGATCAGTTCTGTCCGCAGCACTGCACAGAAACTGTGACCTTGTCAGGGCGACCTTGCCAGGCCCGGCGGCTCCTGCGCGCCCATCTTGCTGCCTCCACAGCAGCCCTCCTCCCAGCTCACCGCCCCTTCTTCCTGGACGTACGCCTCCTCCCCGGCTTCCACACTCCCGCCCCGGGTTCTCCTCGGCTTTCTGGCTCGGGCTTGGCCTGGTCCGTGCCGGTCCCTCCTCATCTCCCGGCCTCTGAGCTCTGGGCACCTGCGGACTCGGGCCTCGGGTCTCCTGGCTTGTCTAGGCACACGTCGTCCCGGGCGGCCAGGCCTGTAGCCTTAACGAGCAGCTGATGCCTCTCAGTGACTGTCTCCAGCCCTGGCTCCTTCTCGGAGCCCCAGTCAGGACATCCAGCTCCGCCCCGTCCCACCGTGGCCGGGCATTCCCACCAGATTCTTCGCTCACATCCCACATCCGGGCCAGCCTGAGAGCCCAGTGGCCCTCCCTTCAGAACGTTTCCAGAACCCAGCCCAGTCTCTCCGCCTCACACCCTACTGGCTGGGCTGGTGCGACGGCTTCCCACTTGGGCCCCCAGTGTCCACGCCTGATCCCACAGCTGAGGCTCCAGCAGCAGCCAGGGTTCTGTGCAGCTAAGGCTGAGCACGCCCTCCAGTCGCTCTCGTCCCCTCCAGGTCAAAGGCCAGAGCCCCGCAGACCGGCTCCTGCCGGCTCTCCATCCCCCAGCCGCCCGCTGGCTCATTGCCTTCGGGCCACGAAACGGTCTCTCTGCTTCTCGTGGGTGCCAGCCCAGGAACCTCCTGCCTCAAGGCCTTTGCATTTGCTGTTCCTTCTGTCTGGAAACTTCTTCCCCAGACGCCCACTGGCTCTGCCCTCACTTCCCGCAGGTCTTGGCCCAGATGTCATCTGATCCAAAAGGCCTTTCCTGATCCCACCCGCAGCACTCATCTTCTGCAGGGTACTTCTCACCAACGAATTTAATGCTCGTTTTTACTGTCTGTCTCTCCCTCTGGCAAGTGTGCTCCCTGAGAGCGGGGCTCTGTCCACTGCTTCACGCCGGGGTCTAGAACAGCCTCTGGCAGAGTGTACGTGCTCAGTAAGCATGTGCTTGAGTAAATGAATGAGTGAGTCCATCTTCTTTTCACCTGCCTGGAAAAAAGCCACACGCTGAGGAAGCCTCGTTATATGTTGACGAACACACACCTCCTCGGGGCCTATCCTGAATGTAACAATGATTACATTCAATGTAATAAAGATTACAATAATATGGTAATTGAACAAATGTGAACTGGATGTTTGCAAGGCCCTGTGCTGAACTGTGTACACATCTCCCACTTCCACCGACTAGAGAGCATTGGCTGAAACGAGCTTAATATTCAGAATCAGGAAGACCAAGCAAGGAAGAGCCGGGAGAGCATCAGCTGGAGCGAAACCGCTCGTGCACGTCCACCCTCAGCTCCACCACTTTGTCTAAAAGCACAGGGCCCCAGCCACAGAGAGCGCTTGTGCCCGTGGCCAAAAAAAACCCCTCGGTACCTCGTCTGCTGCCAAACCCTGATTCACCTCTTCTGGGAGCACATGAGGCGATGCGCTTTTTTAAAACCCAAAGTAACCCAGATGGACCCAGCGTGGAAAGCAGGGAAGCAGCAAATCTGGCACAGAGCTCACACCCACCAGAGGTATGTCTCCAAGTTTCTTATCATCTGTCAGACTGAAGTTTGGCAAGATCTAGATGGAGGTGCAGATGGCGAGGCTTATCAGAGGCACCAGAGTTAGGGCCGTGGTGTGAAGACTCGTCCTACCCCTGACGGTGACGGGAAAGAAGAAAAACACAAAGGAGTAAAAGGACCTGCCCCTGCCTCGCCCCGCTTCCCTCTCCCTTGAAAAGGGAGAAGAGGTGGGAGAGGAAACGCAGAGAGAGAAATCAGGATGGTGTGGGCAGCATCCGGCTCCTCTCTGGGCCAGCCCAACGTCTGCCATTTGGCTCCAACTGGGACACGTGTGCGTTAAGAGCCACCGGCTCTGAGCCTCCTGTTCCTTCCACCCCAGCCCCAGCTCTCACCCAGCAAGGCCCTGGGCTCCAGCCACACTGAGCTCCCTCGCTTCCCAAGCCCTCCGGGGTCTCTTCACCAAGCCCAGAGCCCTGGACGATCTGACCCCCACCACCTCCTGACCTCACCCGCCAAGTCCCCTGGCCCTTTTCTGCTCCAGCCACACAGGCCTCCCTGCGCGTTATCACACACACCAGGCGCACTCAGCCATCAAGGCTTCTGCACGTCTGGCTCCCTCCGCTGGACGGCTCCCTGAGGCCCTCATTCAGGTCTCGGTCATGTGCCACCTGCCCCGAGGGGCCTTCCCGATGACCTGCGCAAAAACGCACCCCCGTCCCTTTTCTCCTTCGCGTTCACCCACACCTGCACATTTCATATTTCTGTCTCTGTTTATTGTCTTTCTTCTTCCATTGAAATGTAAATGCCAAGCAAGGGGATTTGGTTTCATTTGCTGCTGTATCCTTAGGCTCACAACAGTCCCTGGACAGAGTGGATGCTCATAAATATTTGCACAGTGAGTTTACAGCCGTGTTGCTGCCCAAACGCCTTCCCGTCCGCTCCGGGGCAGGAGCTGGCGCCGTCTCTCCTGCTCTTCTGACTGCACTTCCATCCCGACACTGGCCCCCTGACCTCCATCTTGACATTTTGGTGAATTCCTGCCTGAAGGTGGTACCCAGCTCCTCTCCTGCAGGAGGGGACCTCCCTACTC